GTGGTAAAACCTACACCTACACCTTTTATTAGTAGATAGAATTACTTTTGCAAGTCCAAAGAACAAAAATGAAAAGAGGGATTCATGGGACCAGATATATTTAACATATCTGGTGACTCAAATCATGGTATTTTTTACTTATAGTTAAAACCCACTAAACGTTTTTTAAAATACGGAGAGTAATCTCTCTTCTACCAAAAAAAGTATATATAAAGAAGTTACATTGCCTAATTTTACAGGTAAACAATCATTTCCCTTAACCCAGGTACAACCTAGAACAAATGGATGTAACCCCAATAAAATCAGGTTAATGGGCACCTCTGGAAAGCCAGTGTTTACGACTTCTCAGCAAGGATAAAATATGGCTGCTTTGGTGCACAGCTACATGTCATAGGCTCCATGCTCTTTCATGGACCTGTTTGGCGACCCTACTTGCTACAAATATGCCACCACCACTGCCTATAATTGGTTTATTTAAGTCACATCTTAGGCCAAGTGCTCCATCACAATCACCTCTGTAAGTCACAAGTGCTATCCTTCACGGACATGGGAAGCTGGTGAGAAGACTTGCCTACAATCCTGGTTCTTTTCTTCCCCTCAACCTAAAAGGTAGTCAGAAGTCCCAAGGCAGAAATCCTAAACACCACTGCATGCACCAGCACAGAAACACTTGCCTCTAGGTTAATCTAGATTTTCCTAGGACGGTAAAACCTTGGTTTGCGAGTGTAATTCATCCGGAAACATGCTTGTAATCCAAAGCACTTGTATTATCAAAGCAAATTTCAAGAACCCTTGGCTCAGTGGGGATCATGTGGCATTCGGCATCGTGTACTACTCGTACTGCAAGACGTCACTTGTTTATCAAATTAAAATTGATGAGAAATGTCGGGACGCCTGTCTGGCTCAGTCAGTGAAGCGTCGGACTCTTGATTTCGGCTCGTGTCATAATCTCACAGTTCGGAGTTCGAGCCCTACATGGGGCTCTGCACTGACAATGTGGAGACTGCTTGGCATTCTCTCTCTGCCCTTCCCCTGTTTGCACTCTCTCTCTCTCTCTCGAAATGAATGAAAAAACATTTTAAAAAGATTATTAGAAATGTTTGCTTGACTTGCAGAACACTCACAGAACAAGTTACTCGCAACCCTAGGTTTTACTGTATTTTCTTCCTTGTGGAACTTACTTAAAATGGCCCTTAGAGGGGCACCTGGGTGGCTCAGTCAGTTAAGGTCCGACTTCGGCTCAGGTCATGATCTCACAGTTCATGAGTTCGAGCTCCGCGTCGGGCTCTGTGCTGACAGCTCAGAGCCTGGAGCCTGCTTCAGGTTCTGTGTCTCCTCTGTCTGTCCTGTGCCTCCCCTGCTCATGCTGTCTCTCTCTCAAAAATAAATGAACATTTATTTTTGCCCCTAAAAAACCTAGGCAGCTGTTGAATCAGGGGCAGCAGGTACACAGGAGTTCCTTACAGTTTTCCTCTACTTGTGTGGATGGCTTTGAATTTGCGCACAGAGGCTCCACTTTGCCAGGAGTGAGTGGTCTTTGCCTTATTTAAGGTCCTCTTCTTATGTCTCTTTCATTTTAACACCCCCTTCCCCTAACCCTGCCTTCTTCGACAGGACGAAATGAATTGCGAGGTGTCTCGTTCCCTCAAGAAAAGAAATAGTTCATCAATGATGAGCGTTGGAGACGGTCGTGAGCTTACAGAAAGCTAAAGGTGGGCGAGGACGCAACGGCGGGCTAACATTTAAAATCATTACAGTCACAGAAAGACAGATACTGCAGGATCCCATTTATAGGAGGTTTCTAGAGTAGTCAAATTCACAGAAACGAAGTAGAATA